TTTAGATTGGATGATTTGTTATATATATTTTTGCATATATTTACGAGGGATTTACCTTTTCATAATTATTACTTGTCTTAGTACCTGTAGAAAATAGTAGATGTGCACAATTAAGCTACATATGGTCTACGTTTCATATATCCTTCTTAAGAACTACTATTTATTATAATATCATCATTAGTTTGATTTATATTGTGTCATTACACATACTTGAATTACACCATATACTAAAATATCTAGAAAACTCACAAAATAGTGACACCCGTCTCGTTAAAAGTTTTAAAGTGTTAAAAAACCTAGTATAAAATTCGTTACGAATCTACAATTTACACATTAAACGTATCTGTAATTCTATACATATTTTATTTATCACTATATTATAATATTCAAGGGAAGGTATAAGAGGGAGAAGAGGAAGCGAGGGAGGAAAGCGGAGCGGCAGAGACCTGCCCGCGCGTAACTGTGCAAATAGCTAACAACTTAAGTTTTATAAATTATAGAGAGAGAGTCTATATATTTTATTTTTCAAAAAACATTAGTGGGTAATATGTTTTATCCCAGGAAATGTTTCGTTAAAACCATACTATTTAATAATGGATGGTAATAATATTTTTTACAAATTTTTAATTTTCCTAGGATTTCAGTAATATTTGCATATTCATTCTCTATGTATTAATGATATATTCGTTTTAGAAATCTCCCTGACTGTGTTTAATTGTAAATTTTGTAATTTTTAAGGACATTTGTCATAAATTTGTTGAAATTATATTGTTTTCCACATACTTACTGAATTGTTTTATTTAGTAGACCATGTAGTAATATTTCATTTTAGGCGGGGGTGTGGGGGGGGTGGTGGGGTGGGGGTCTAGGTTTGTTTTGTGGGTATGGGTCGATTCGAAGTAGTTTGAGTTCCTGGTGGTTTATTGTGCTTGGTTGTTGGAGCTTGTAGTGTCTTTTGGCGGTTCAATTTATCTAATGATGATTTTGAATTTATTAAGTGTTTTTTAAAAATTTAAATTTAAATGTTTTGTTTTAATTTTAAAACTTTAAGGTGCTTTTCTAAAATTTAATACTTAGTTATGATAAGGGAATATTCTTATTTATAGTTCCTATATTTTATAATTATCTCGTTAGGTCAGAAATAAACAGGATTTCGTTTGTAAATTTTATATATTTTTGCTAGAGATTCATTAACTGGTTAATATTGTAAAAAATTTAACAGTTAGTTGTTAATTGCAAATATTCTTATGACAATTCCGGGTTTTTTTGTGCGGAATTCATGAAGAGTTATTCTTAGTATGTTTTATAAATACATGTGACATTTATTCAAAAGAGTGTTTATAAATTTTAAAATTTATATGAGGTTTTTGTATATTTCACTAAAAAGTGCACTATTGATATTCATATGTCTTCAAATTCAATAAAACTTCAGGTCTAGGTTGCATATGATAAACTGATTTTTGTAATTCTCACAATGAATTACATTAACAATAATATATATATTATTTTTAAGATGTTTTATTAATACAACTTTTTTGTAATTTATGGGTAGGGGTTATTTTGTAGTTAAAAAACTCGGAGAATATTATTCACAGATCCAGAGATCTTTTAGGTGATTGGCCTAAGCATATGATCTTTTAGATTTCTCTAAGTGATTAAAATAAATTCAATAATTGAATACATATACATAAAGAAAAACATATCTAATTTATCAATATACAGTATAAGTCTCATTATGACATAGAATAACATCATTTTGTTACTAATTCAAAGAAGATGAGTTTAATAATAGATGAAGGATAAACAATGTAGTAACATAAAAAAATTCTAAGGTAATATGACCATCCAGATAAGATTCTCCTGAACTCGTACTTATTAAAAGAAGCTATTATATAATGATATTTAATATTAGTAACATATGATATTATAAGCATTGGTTAAACAACATAGATGTAATATATACTATATTATACAGCTGACCGTTACTATACGATGACAGAAATAATAAAGAATACAAGATGAATAAGGAAGAACCAGTTAACCTATATTACCTATCCTAAATTTTAAATAGTAACTATATACTTACTATATCATTCATACATGACCTATCTATAATCTAAATACTAAATAAAGAAATACCTAGCTACTACATTATACTGTACATACTGAATACTAACGTAGTAATGATTATTCCTAACCGTGCACAACCTTAGATTCCCCACCTAACGGACGCGGGCTAAAATCACACTCATTTCCCTAGATTTTTTGTACAATCCGCTTCGTGATTTTGACTCTACACATTTCTTAAACCAAACACACAATTTAGGTGAGAACCCGTCCTGATTTTAGACCTTCATCACAACACAGGGCGCAATTTAACGGTCCGAATGAATAGACTTTTTCTTGACAGACTCAAACGAAGCGCTCAACAACCCACGACACGGTTCAACCCCAATTTGATGTTTTTGAGTTTAGAACGTGTAGATCAAACGATCAACGGAGCGGTACGCAAAAAAATTTAGGAAATGATGACTGACTTTACCGCGTCCTTAGTGTGGAATCTAAGGTGTCACCGTTAGAACAAACAGTTATACTATAGAATCCGCGGTAATGATTTCATGAAACGCTCACGGCTTCATACCCACTTATATAATACTATATAGTTATAAATTCATAATCATTTCATACATATCATAAATCATACTGCCCATTTTGTCTACTTCAATGGTACTATAGAATAACAGTATTTCACCACCTATACACTCACGTTAATACTATTACCATATTTCTGCACAATCTTTCTTATAACCATCCAGCGGCTACTTCGCTTTATAATAGTATGCACGAGAACCAGGAGCAAGAAGCAGAAGAGAGATGAGAGAAGAGAAACTTGAAACAACTGAAGAGGAAACTTGGTTAAAAAAATTTCGTCTTAGAACTTGGTGAAGACATCGAGGGTGCCAAATCCACTCCTTAGCACTCCACACTGAAGAGAGACAGCTCAATCACTATTCACCCTACCTTTTGGTAAAAAGAATCTCCATTTACACGGTGCTGATGTATATGGGGGTGATTTGGCACACCTCACTATCAACGTTCAATTGCAACGCAATCTGGTACCCAAGGTTTCTCCATACTTTCTCATATCATAGTACAAATCTGATACTTATATATTAATATAATGAATACATCAGTACCATATAATATTATATACATATATATATATATATATATCATACCTAATAATACATTAAATAACCATCAATAGAGTCAATAACACAATATAAATCAAAATAAATATAATACAAAATTAAACAGAGTATTAGATAGAGAGAGCAGAGAGAAAAATGGGATACTTGGTCAAAGAAAAAAAACAAATCCGTGGTAGGTAGACATGTGATGAACACATCTTTCCCTAGAACACCACAACCCTCCTTGAAGATTCGACGCCTCACACCACTTCAAAGAGATTGACTGATATGAACAATGATAGCCATCCACATACAACCCACAAAAGGATCATTAGGTCCAAAGATAAGATAGCACTAATTGCCTAATAATACTCATAATATTAATATAATCGACATATAATTGATAATAACAATATTAGACATACCTAATTTAATTACACTATAACAATCTTCTAAAATTAAAATTAGAAAATCGAGATATATACAATAGACATAAAAGAAACAAACTTCTAGGCAGCAGCTAGAGCACCGCTCGCTCGCGCAACGCCGACGAAAGCCGCCGTAAGGGTATAAAATCCATTGACCCTAACGGAAAGTGGATCTCTCCTCTGACCCAGCGATCTACAAACTAACACCTGCTTATGAAGACGACATATAATTGGCCTTATCCCACTCCGTTGCACTGATGATCGCTCCTCCTTTCTCCACCACCCCACCCCCGCACCCCTTTAGGGTAGAATACCGACGTCGCTTTGACCTCACATCGCGCCCATGTACAAGATCTGCATTCATACTCAATCAAACTGTTAAATGATTACGAGGTGTATACAAACGAAGGGTCAAACGACGACGGAGTTCACCCCAACTTGGATAGTGTTGACGTTATAAACAAGATAAAATACTCAAACATCAAACGGAGCGGATACAATCACACAATGTCGCATAACAAATGCATCACCAAATATAGAGCGTCATAGGAGGAAACTCCCTCCAACTCATCAGACCAGCTCAATTAAGTCTCATATATATTTAATAGACGTACATTAGTATTATAATTTATATTATACCTCTAATATATCAGTACGTATACTAATAATTATATAAATAAATATATCATTTATGATAACTATAAAAATAAATAGTGACTTTATTAACATAATTAATACAATGTATCATAGACGAACATACAATCAATATACACATAAATCACATACGAAGAATAAAAAATATACAAATCACAAAACAGGAATCAAAATGCCTAAATAAAAAAGCAAAATACATACAAATTTATTCAAGAACATCCGTCGATTTCATCCACTATAAATATAAACACTAAAAATATGACTTAAGTCAAGTCTATCAAAAGAAAAACTTTCGTCGCTACCCTCCTCCCCTTCCGTTACTGTCCCCCCCCCTCCTCGGCACATCATATTCTATCCCTATCACACCCCTTTTTCCTCATCCTAACCAAAAGGGATCCTCGGTCCATATGAGTGGAACTAAGTTCGATGGATTAACACACTATTTGCCTACTCAACAACATATACATTGCCCACAAGTTTATATTTGTTCATATACAACGCCTACTGATAGTATATTTATTTAACATATATATATATATATATATATATATATAATAATAATATATTATAATATTACATATATATATATATTGATCATATATAATATATTATGATATTATATATATAATGATATAATATATATATATATAACTATATTCAAGAAATGAAGTAATTTGTAAGAGATGATTGTAATTATACTAACTCGGTTGTAAAATCAGGAGTTTTTCGGTGGTTGCTTTCAGCTTATTAAATGAGACCAATGGTTTAAGAAAGTGTAGCAACATAAATTTCATAAAACAAAACTGAGCTTGGGGGTATTTTTATAAAATAGAGAGAATTTCTTTTTACTAAAATATCACTATTGATGGTAGTTAGTTTAAGTTGTCTCGCGCTTGAAATGTACCTTGTTTTGAATGTTTAACATCTGAACGTTCTTAGAGCATCTCCAACCCAAAAACCCAAAATGGTGTAGTTTTTACACCAACTTGGTGTAGTTTTTACACCAAATTACTATTCCATCTCCATCCATTACACCAAATTTTACATCAAAAAGAATATTCCTTCTATTTACAAACTATAAAATGGGATATGGTTAGAATATTTAATTTGTTATAACAAACTATAAGGGTAAACTTGGGAAAAACCAAAATCTCCATATCTACAGTGTTGCGCCATTCCTGGCGCAACACTGTAACACCCTTTAAAATGACGCTAAGTTTGGCGTTGGGTTGGAGGAAGAATTGGTGTTGGATTTGCGTCAAAATAGGTTTTTGGAGTTGGGTTGGAGATGCTCTTACTTTTATCAGGACGGTTTTTTATATAGGTTTTATATGCATATTTGTCATTTACTCCTACATTCTCCATGTTGGATTTTTATACGCCTTTCTTTTGACACCATTGAATTTAATAGGGATAAATTAGCAAATATAGAGATTTGAATGGTAAATCTACAAATCTATTCCTCTATACAAATGGAAGAACTCAAGATTTACTATTCATGCTACAACAAATACTACAGTAGCATTTATTGTAACATTTATTACTGTATCAAATAGGAAACTGTGTGCTGTAGCAATTTTTTTAAAAACACTGTAGCACACGGGAACACTGTAGCATTTTTTTAAATGTAGCAGAGGCGGGAACAGTAGCAACCCAAATTTCTTAAAACAGTACTGTAGCATTAAAAAAAAATCCGAATTACTGTAGCAGGGAAAAAAAAGATATATCGTGCTTTGCACTGTGTTCACGACTAGTATGATAGATGCCAAAAGCACTGAAAAAAACTTATTTGTGAGAGATTATGTTATTTTACCACTTCTTAGAAATGTAATCTTCAAGCCAGAAAATTAAAGCATAAATTAATAAATATTTAAATTTAAAAATTATATCTTCAAACAAGATAGATTTAAGATATCTACTACTTATAAACTAAAGGAGAACAGCAAAAAAGTTCTGATGAACAGGAAAATAACGACCTACTTTTTTACGCCAACAAGCAACTCCCACGTCTCCTGCATCGCTAAAATATTTTTCTCAAATAACCAACAGCCCCCTTTTCCCTCTATTTCTCTCTCAAATCAAGTCTCTGCCCTAATTCAGTTTTTAAAACGTTCATCAATCTCTCTCTCCCCTTTCTCTCTCTAGAAATCTCTGAGATCCACTCAGAAATGGCCATGGAGATCGAAGATCTACGCCATCACGTCTCAATCTCCTTCGCTCAAGATGTCGTCTCCGCTAAAAAACGATGCGTCCGATTAGTTCCTACGACCTTCATACCAGAACAACCTCAAACAATACGAAATTAGGGTTTCCGACGTTCTCTTCGGTTTCTAGGGTTTCGATAAAAGGGTAATTTCTTAAAATTTCATGACCTCCAATTTAATTTCTTCAAATATTGATGATTCGGCGATTTCTTTAGGTTTCGTGTTGAATTTGTGAGAAAAGAGGGCGAATTTCACCAGGTGTGCTTACAAACAATTTCTTTAATTTCGAGTTTAGAAATGGCAGAAAAGTTTGGGTGTAATTGCTTCATTCTCTCTCGATTTTCAAAACACTATAGTTTGGGTAAAGTTTCTATTGATGTTATCTTTCCTGTTTTACTTTTTCTATGTCTAGGGTTTTTGGGGTTTGATTTTGTGTATAGTAAAGCTAAATCTCCCTTTTAAAGAGTCGCTTTCAATTTTTGTGCCCTATTTTTGTGTGTAATTTTGGTTTTCTTTGTTTAGAATTCAATCGGTGAGTGATCAATGGCTTCGAAGAGGAATTTGAAGGATCTGAAGGATCTGCAGAAAGATCCTCCAACATCTTGCAGCGCAGGTCTCTTTCGATTTCCTATTTTTTGCCTTTTCCCCTTGAAATTATTGTGATGATTACAATAGTAATTTTTCTATAATTATGATTTGATCTGTTGTCTCATATTGATTCTAGGATGGCCAGAAGTAGATGTATGATTTATCTATGATTTATGAGGATCTTGTTAATGATGCATGCTTGCTAGAGTCGGTTCAGTGTTTGAACTCACCTCCTACATATTTCTGCAAGGTAAACACCAAAGGTCCAAATGAGAGTTTAAATTTTTTACTCAATACCTTTTAAACACGATTTATGGGAATTTCCAATAGCACTAAAAGGATTTCGTACAGTTTTGAAAGTTGAGGGGGTTTCTATGAATCATAAAGGTTAGGGTGATTTGTGTAAAAGATAACCACTATCGAATCAAACTTGATCTAATATATAAACGAATAATAACCAAATATTAATTACTTTTTCGATTTACTTCCACCATTATACTTAATTTATATACTTAATTTATAGCAGAATATTAAATTTATTTATAGCAGAATACTTAATTTTGGTAACATGTTCAATATTTGTAGAATATAATTTAAAAATAGTGCTTTGGACGGATCTAAATATTAGTTTTAAAAAAGAACAAAGAAAACCTTATTTTGTGCAACTTTTGCCCCAAGAAACATAATCAGAGTAACTTATTCCCAAAGAAACTAAAACTCCCTCTTCTCCTTCCCTCCACAAATAAATAAAAGCCAAGCAGATAAACCCAAAAAAAGCCCGGCTTTTTCTCGACTTCCCTCTCTCCCTCCGCCGCCAAAATCCTCCCCTCAAAAAAATAAGCTCCAATCTTTTCGAAACCCAATGAATCCAGGTCAACTGCGGGCCCCACCTCCTCCCCTCCTCGTTCGCGCCCCTCTCTCTTCCGAGGACCACAACAGCAGCAGCGACCTCAGCACCGACAGCGATAGTGGGTTCGGGTCCGAACCCAGGACCACAACAGCAGCAGCGACCTCAGCACCGACAGCGATAGTGGGTTCGGGTCCGAACCCGAACCCGAAACCGAACTCGAGCAGTCGCTGCTACGGTCGGAATCGATGCCGGTGGCGAGGCTGACGGCGGACGAGGACGTCGACGGCGACGAGACGGAGGAGGAAGAGGGGGAGGGGTTTGTCGTTAGGGTTCGGGTTCTTGACAATGGTGACGATGAAAACCCTAGTTTGGAGTCTGAGGAAGAGGTTTTTGATGAGGCTGATGGGGGTTTGGATGCTGTGGCTAGGGTTTATTCTTCTCAGAGTGGAAACCCTAGTCCATTTACAGATGGGGTTTTGGAGGGAAACCCTAATATGAATTTGGAAGAAGATGGGGATGTGAGACCAATGGAGGTGGTACCTGACACTATGGAAACTGAGGAAGATAGGGTTTTGCGTGAAAACTTGAATTCGATTGAAAATTCAACGAAGGATGGGGTCGATGAACATACATCTAGAGATTGTACTGATGAAACTCACAATGAGACCTCGGGAAGTGATTGTGCACAAGGGAACACTACTTTGGATGGTGATTGTATTGATGAGACTCACAGTGAGATTTCGGGAAGTGATTGCGCACAAGGGAACACTAGTTTTACCGGAGAGGTGTCTTTGGAGTCCACGGAAAAAGACGAGGATTTGAAACCAATGGAAGTTGAGCCTGACAATGTCGAAGCAGAGAAAGATGGAGAAGAGGAGGATTCAGATGTTGATCAACCGGAGGAAATTGGCATTGAGACTGGTTCAAGTGAATTCGGGTTTTTGGATGAAAGTTCAAATGCAGAGGAAACTGCTGGGGAAGTCAGGGTTTTGAGTGGAAACTTGAATTTGACAGAAAATTCTGTGAAGAACGGAGTTGGTGAAGTTAAACCTAATGGTTCTGTGGATGAAACTCGTAAGGAGAACGGAGATCATGGTGTTCTAGATGAAAAGGATGAGGTTTTGGGAACTGATTGTGCACAAAGTATCACTGCGTTTACAGGAGAGATGCAGTTAGAGTCCGTGGAAGTGAAGCTGACGACTATTGAGATAGAGATGGATGGGATTGATGAATGTATGCACCAAGGATGGGAACCTGCAGATGCTGCGGCCAGAGAAATTGGCAATGTTGTTGCTGATTCGAACCAAAACCAAGAACAGGTATGTTTCGAATCTTGGCAATACCAAAACCTTGTAATTGTATTCGTGGCTTTGGGGAAAAACACGAGGGATCCACTATCTGGTACACTTTTGATAATTTTGAAAACATCTTTATTATTCAACTATTCACTTAATTTTTTATTTTATTTTCGGCTGGTCTAAGCTGTTAAAATTGGCTTGGCACTCATATTGGTTGGAACCAAATCGAATTCAATATAAAGATTAGTTGCATTTAGATTCATCTATAAATTTTATATCAAAACATGCACCCAAATTTTTTTAGCAAATTCATATTTAAATGCTAGTTCTTTTTAAGCAATCGTTAAATATTTAAATATCCCATTGCTTTATTATTCTATAGTTAATGGATATAAAATTATTTGATTAAAGATATCATATTTTTGAATAATTTAATTCTTTTAGTAGCATTTAAACAATATCTGAAAAGTATTTCTTTAAAATGATACAAATCCATAATTTGCATGGTTGATTAAAATTTTGTTTTGGAAACATTTCTTGGATAATGTTAAATATAAGGAATTAAATGTAGAACAAAACAAGCACAGTCTTGTAGGAATTTTTTCTTTTTTTCTTTTTTTTTCATATCAAAACTGAATTCTAGATATTGCACTCAGTTCTTCATGCTTAAAATCAGAAGTTTCCTACAAATTTAATGTACTTTCTGTTGTCTTGTCTAAAAATGCTTAATGAGTTTATACTTTACATATAACCTAATTGTTGTTGCTGCTGCTGCTGTGGTTGCTGCTGATGTTGTTTTGCACTTATAAATTTGGTGTGTTTGCAGGATGAAGAAGATGGCTCTGTTACTGTGGATTCTAGTCAATCTGACAGCTCTTTGAACAGGCTTGAGTGTTGGAATGACAACAAAGCGAAGAAGAAACCAGAAGAGGTTTGTAATACTCTTGTGGATCCTGGTGTAGCTGAGAGTTTTGCAATGTTATAAATTTGGTCTTCTTGCAGGATGAAGAAGATGGCTCTGTTATTGTGGATTCTAGTGAATCTGAGAGCTCTGTGAACAAGATTGAGACTAGGAATGATGACAAAGTGAATAAGAAAGCAGAAGAGGTTTGTAGTATTCTTGTGGATTCCAGTACAGCTGATAATTTTACAATATTCTAACTTTTGTGTTTTTGCAGGACGATGAAGATGGCCCTGTTGTTGTGGATTCTTGTGAATCTGAGAGCTCTGTGAACAATCTTGAGAGTAGGAATAATAACAAACTGAATAAGAAAACAGAAGAGGTTTGTAGTGCTCTTGTGGATTCTAATACAGCTGAGAGTTTTGCAATCTTATAATGATGTTTTGCAGGACGATGAAGATGGCTCTGTTGTGGATTCTAGTGGACCTGAGAGCTCTGTGAACAACCTTGAGAGTAAGAATGATGACGAAGCGCATAAGAAAGCAGAAGAGGTTTGTAGTACTCTTGTGGAATTTAATACAGCTGAGAGTTTTGCAATCTTATAACTTAAGTGGTTTTGCAGGATAATGTGGGTGCAAAGGAGGGAGGATTGCAAGTTTCTGGTAAACAAATGATAAGGGAGTCCAAAAGGGAGATTATTAGGGAGTTATTGGCTTCTGCATCCTCTTCTGCTGCTACCAGCAATGATACGATCATTGCCTCTAATCTTAGGAGAATTCTTTCTGACAGTTATCCTGCTTTTTTGGGCTCCTTAGGCCCAAGTAGATCACAACCAACCATCCTCGACTCTTCCAACCTTGCAGTTGATAGCAACCCCGAAATCGCAATGACTGAAGAAGAGAAGAAATTTCATAACAACATCGAGTTGGTTAGAGTCAAATTCCTTCGTCTTGCTTTCAGATTAGGTTATTACCTGGAAGAGAAAATGGTCACTTCAGTCCTCTACAATCTTGAACGCATTGCGGGTACAAAACATTGGAAGTTTAGCTTTCAGACAGCAAGAAAGAAGGCTATGGAGCTCGAGAGGGAAGAGAAAGATAAGTTGGATTTTTCATGTACTATTCTAGTTATTGGGAAGGCTGGAGCCGGAAAGAGCGCGACGATAAATTCAATCTTTGAAGAAGAGAAGTCACCAAGGAATCTATTCGAACCTGAAACTTCTTCAGTGAGAAAGATTGAGGGGGTTGTGAATGGGATAAAGATTCGGATTTTGGATACTCCAGGCCTGAAACTTTACTCACAAGATCAAGTATCAAATATAAAGATGCTCTCTTCTCTGAAGAAGTACATGAAGAAATACCCACCTGATGTAGTTCTCTATATGGATCGGCTTGATATCCAAACCCGGGATTTTAATGATTTGCCCCTTTTGAGAACAGTTACTAGTACTTTAGGCCCTTCAATTTGGTCGAATGCTATCATTGTTCTCACTCATGCATCCACAGCTCCACCCGAGGGACTAGATGGCAGACCATTATCCTATGAAACATGTATAGAGGAGAGGTCTTATGTGATTCAACAGTCAATTACGCTGGCAACAGGAGATATGAATTTGATGAGGCCAGTGGCTTTAGTTGAGAATCATCCATCTTGTAGAAGGAACACAAAAGGGGAAAGAGTACTTCCAAATGGATGTAGATGGAGATCTAAGTTACTTCTCTTGTGTTGCCGTTCGAAAATCTTATCTGAAGCCAATGCCCTTTCTCCCTAGGGTTCAAGATTCTTCTGCACAAAAGCTCTTAAACTCCCTCTTCCGATCTCCACAATGGAATTCTTTTTGTCTTTGCTTTTTGAGAAAAAACCCCATCCAAAGCTTTCTTCAGATATCGACTTGAATGGCTTTTCAGATGAGGAAGATGAAGAACATGAGTATGATAATCTCCCGCCTTTCTCTCCTTTAACCAAATCCCAGATTGACGAGCTTAGTAAAGAGCAAAAAAGGTTGTATTTTGACGAGTATGACTATCGGGTTGAACTCCTGAAGAAGAAACAGTGGAAGGAACAGATTAGGCTATTCAAAGAAATCGAAAAGAGAGGGGAAAGCAATAATATTTATGAAGATGATGATGATTCTCCAACTTCACCGGCTCTTTCGCAAGATATTACATTGCCTCTTTCCTTTGATTGTGATGATCCAGTGTATCGTTACCGATCCTTGGAGCCAAGCTCAAACTCAACATTCTCAACTGATTTTCTCTCGGGTTCTAATGGTTGGGATCATGACTATAGCTATGATGGGATTAGGCTCCTAAAGATCTTTGCTATAGCTTCAAAATTTCCAGGTGAAATCTCTGTCGGTTTAAGAAAAGATAAGGAGGAGTTCGTCATCAATTTGGACTCCTCAGTCTCAGCCAAGCATGGAGATAATGGCTCATCGCTAGCGAACTTCAACGTCCAAACTATTGGTAACCAAAGAGCATACTCTATACGGGGCGAAACCAAGTTCAAAAATTTTAAGAAGAACAAGATGACTGCAGGTTTTTCTGTCAACTATTTGGGGGATACTGTTGCTACTGGAGTGAAGCTAGAGGATCAAGCTTCAATTGGGAAGAGAGTTGAGCTTGGTGCAAGTATTGGTGCTGTTCGAGCTGAGGGTGGTGTGGCATATGGAGCTAATTTGGAGGCAAAATTAATGGAGGAGGATTACCCTGTTGGCCGAGCTCTTGCTATATCAAGTTTGTCTTTGGTTCAGTATTGCGGGAATTTGGCTTTTGTGGGGAATCTACAGGCTGAAGTCCCTATTGAGAGGAACTCGAAGATAATCGTTCGTGTTGACATCAACAACAAGATGAGTGGAAGGTTAACACTTCAACCACGTACTTCTGACCCTCTTGTGATGGTGCTTATTGGTTTACTTCCATTTGCAAACTGTATTCTGAGGAGAATCTGGCGCAAGTATTTTTTAGCATAGTAAACTGTTATCCATTTAGATTTTTTTTATACAGTTAATTTAGGTTTCATAACTTTCCGCATTTAGGATTTGTATATGGGAATTGAATTGGGGTTCTGATCACTGATGGAATTTTTAGTTCTATTTCAACCATCTTTTGTTCTTCTATGCTC